GCAAATTGTTGTCTGTTTCCGCGACAGGCATTTGTGTGTACCTATTTTGTGCGGCTACCGATGAAGTAATTTGTAATTATAACATTCTATTGTTGTAACATAGCACCGTGGTTCAACACCGACTGTGACTTGTTTATCCGGTGGTTACGTACCATTTCAGGGCTTTGACTTCCATTTAATCCGCATTGGGGACGGCGGATCGGTGTTCTACGCGTTTGTTCAACTATGCTAAGCGTTATTGACGTTTACATATGGTGCAGTTCGAGGCCAACCTTTAGCGTTCGCCATGAAAGCTTCGTCATTCCAAGTGAACCAGAGGGTTATTGGTACCAATTTAAGACTAGATGGGTCAATAATCGCGGTTGAGATGCCAGCAGGATATTAATCACGTTACAGGCCAAGTGTCATGTTAATTGGCACATTAGATGTGGTAAGACCCCAGGTGCTTCACTGTACTAGATCATCACACGCAAGTCTCTGTCTGCTATGGAACTAGGAGTGGTTTGATATTCGCGCTCTGCCCCAGTTCCTTCCGCCAACGTCTTTCAGAGTGGCCGGATTCAGACAGCCCGCCACACATTCGCGAACGCAACTTCATCCACTCTGTTTACGCAGCTGCTGGCTATGAAAATTTCCAACGCCTAAACAGTCAGCCTTTGGTGTGCAGATCGCAAACACTAATGATTTTTTCCATTATCCAATTCGATTTCATGCCCTGTGTCTAACGAATGCAGCGCTACTGTCGGATCTCGTAATGGCGTTCCTCGGTGGCCGTGACAAGCGTCTCGTGGGTTCTGATAATCGCGTGCGCAGTTCTCTAGCGGTTTGGTCTATGTACACTTGCGCACAATACTTGCAGATAATTTTGCGGATGCAGTTGATCCTCCTATCTGCTGAAGTGAGTCCTTCAAATAAAAGGATGTCGAAGGGAGCGTTTGACTTCTGGTAAATCACCCATGTTTTTTCTCTGTTTAATACCCTTCGGATGGCGTCTGAAGTTTGTGGTTGTTATGCTTACCTTTTTTATTTCGCGTAATCATTTTTATCACGACACCCTTCTGTACAGTTTGTTTGAATTCCCGAAAAACTACTAGAATATACTTCTTTGAAATCCACCCATCAAGGCGGAGCTACGACGTCTTCACCAAGTGCATATCCAGTCTATTCTTGGGAACAGCAGCATCACACTTGTGCCAAGAAAAAGGTTTAACAAATATCGACCTAGAGCTTGTACTTCCGTTGCCTGGAAGATTCAAGGGAAAATCATTCTTGAAAGGATGCTGTGTCCTACGCACTCAAGTGACTCACTTCAATGATTTATCGTAGTCCCAGATCTACTTAGATGCACTGGCCTGCAAAGTACATTTTATACTGTCACCATTTGACAACAGAAACATCATTTCGTATGAGTTTTCTTGAGGATGATAATGCGTTATGTCTTGTAAACCGCGAAGTGCTGTTGTAAGCTCTACTCATCCAAGGGATATATACCTCCATCATCCATTTACTAAGTGCTTATTTTGCTGGTCGCATACAGAGTATACGACTCAGTGGCAGATATTTCTTCCCAACAACCACCAAATCGGTTGTTTTTCAGGGAGAAATTCTATCACCTTACCACCTTCTACAAACACCAGCTCACTAATAAGCTAACAGTAAGTGACGCCTGCTGTAGCAATGTAGTGCCTATTCGCCCTGTAATAAAATTGCCGCTGTCGTATTTCGACATTAGCCCTCACAGCAAAGCACTGTTCAAAACGTCTCTCACACCATAGGCGGCCACCTTCCAACCTATCTTTCGGTTGCACAGTCTCTTTTTGTCGCTTTACTCGCAAGCCTGTCATAACGCTTTGGCACCACTGGCCAATCGCAGTCATGCATCTGTGACTGTCTTGCTATCCGTACATGGTAGTCCACTTACGTCCACCCAACCCTCCCCTCTGTCGCACCACGTGAGTTTGGACAACTTTGTGTCCCTAATTGCGTGGAACTAGCAGCTCGTCGCCCACACGTCTCCAGCGCACACCATCGATATATCTTATCCGTGCATGGGCTATTACATCCATCGTCATTGGCCGATTTCGGCTAACTCAGTTCCAAGGATACTGCGAGCATGGTGCGTCGTAAAGACGCTGGATGCAGTTCTGATGCGTTAACGACTAAGTTCAATTAGCTTACAGATGCAAATCATATCCCTAGGGAGCAATTCAATTGCGCTATGGATGCAATCAATCGGGAATAGGTATAGATTGCCTTTTCCCCAATGTCGAACTAACCGGATCTTCGGATTCCCTACGTCCTCATATGTCTACATTGCTTTCATTTGATCGTGGACCCTCCTGATCAAACCAGAGGCCTCAACTAAGTTGTGTGGCCTGACGCAATCATTTGGAGTATGTGTACCCGAAAGTGGAACAAAAGGTTGGAGTAAAATTTTGTAGCGGGTAAAATAGCATTTGTTTCACTGGTCTCATAGGTTGGTCAGGAGGAGAAGTAAAAAAGCAGAGGCTATCTATAAGAAATAAAAAAATAGTAGGATAATGGCACATCAGAACCATGCAAAAGGACATAAAACGTTATTTTATCGAACGCTTATTTAATAAACATTCGTGCTGCCCCCTCCCCGTCTTCACCGACTGACGAGCACCAGCGTGTAGAATACTCCCAAAGATGCAAGTTCACGGAACTGCCTTCCGGAGTATCCGCTCATGGGACAATGTGTGGGGAAATGAGCGCGATATCCAGGCGCTTTTTAACAATTGTTAGATTGGAGGTACAAACAACCGACTGAAATGTAAGTACAGCATTTTTAGACATGAACAGCGATTTTATTTCCATGACAACCTAGATAATAGTATTGTTAATTTAATTTTAAACTACTCCCTCTCTCATGTTAGCGTTCGGGTTGACCGGGAGCTTTCCGTATTTGACGTGGTAAAATGAGGTCAGCACGTGCTACCGAGAGCGCCCAGTGAACAATCCGAGTCTCTTCAGTCATTTCTGGTAAAGAGGATAGAGTAAACGTTTTACAAACTTCACCGCCCGGCGTACTGGAATCTCGAGCGCTACGGTGTCACGCTTTAGCCAAACTTCTTACTCCTGAATAGCGTATTCGACTTGGGGACACACATAGACACTGAGGATCCCAGAGAAGATGACTTGATCCAAACTCCCAAGTGCCCTCCGCAAGAGATCAACATACTAGTTGCCTCATTTTAAAACGGACTGTGATTGCCTGAAACAAGTGAGATCTTCTTGTACGAGTACAGCAAACTACGATTCCTGTGAGGTGTTTTGCCGTCCGAGCACCCCAAGTTTGTAGTTGCAAGCGTGCGGGCGGCGGATATAAATAACTCGGCACTTATCGTCATTGAATGGCCTCGAGTTTCTCCCTGACAAATTCCAGACTTCATCAAGGTTACGCTGGAGTGCGTCTCTGAAGTGCTTGCCGTGGCTGACCTCTTCCTTGCTATGTTGTTAATGAGGATTAAGAATTAGCAAGGCCCAAGCAACGAACGTTGCTGCACACCGAACTGGACTCGACTGGTGTCGGACGAAGATGTTCAGACTCTAACCTCGAATTGCCTTTAGGGGAGAAAATTACCGTTCCTGCTCAATAATAGATCGCCAATATCATATTTCTGAAGCTTGTAAAGGAGGTTGCAATGGTCAAGGCGATCAAACGCTTTAGACGGGTAAAAACTGACATTGGGTCGTGTCCCATCGTCAACTGACTCAGTCCAGCTGATGTATGTAAGTAACAAGCTTGTTGTGCACGACCGGCGCCGACGAAAACCGCGTTGCTTGGGTGCGATGGTACCATAGTTTTACAAGAAGCTGCTAAAGCATCTGCGATAATTGCTTTCATAACGTTGGTGAGAACAAAAGGAAGCGAGACCTGGAGACAATTATTGGGCTGAGATTGCCTGTCTACTTTGTGAACAGTGGCGATAATTTTCCCTATTCAGTTGGAATGAACCGTCTTGTCGTCTAAGTAGGGCTTAAGGAATCCGGCCAGCGGTCCTGCTGGGTGTATGGCTGTTATCTGCAGTGCTTTCGGGTGAATGATATCCGCTCCGGGTGAGCGGTATGCGGGCAGTGACTGCAGTTTCTTCAGCACCACTTCTGCATAAAACTTGAATTTCTTTTAACCTGATGATGGAGTAACAGAAAATGCGCTTGAACCCTGAATGCTTTGTAAGGTAGATGAGTGTTGAACCCGCAAAAAGTTGGCGCATCCACCAATCGTAGCGCGTGGCGAGATTCCTCGCTACACTTTACTGAGCCTACTAACGTGTACATTAAATGTTTGTGGTTCGATCAGAGTTGTTTCTCCAAAGGCTATTGGTGTGCCAACTTGGCTTGAAAAACCGGTTGCACACGGTAGTTTAGCTTAGTTGCGTATGCGGTCCAATTTGCTGAGTTGGGAGACATTTTAAACCTGTGATAACAAGTTCACTAGGAACAGAGGCGTAGCATAAGGGGGCTGTCCGCTCTGGCCTGCATGTGACCGACGGTGGCAATTTTAGTACCGTCGATTGTTCGATACCAAATATAAATGGCAAAATATCCAGATAAGCTTAGGGTTGAAGATATTAATGTTACTCTGTATGACCAACAACGCATTTGCACCATCCGTCACACTTGTGCAAACGTTCTTCCCAGGCGATCCCCTTACTTGTCTCATTGTGATCAGCGTTACCATATTTACGTCAGTGTCCCAAATGGTCATCCATTTCATCGAAAACTAATGTGCACTTTACCCTGAGCGCATTTTGTGACCTTCTCGCACCTATTCTGCCTTCAATCTGGGCAAACATTTTCCCACCACCCCGGGCAGCACAGGTAGTTGCAGTGCCACTGATTAGGACTAATTACTTTTTTGTTCTGCTTCTCGGGGAGGAATCCGATTTAAGGCGGTGGTGGAAAGCTTTAGGCGCTGATGACTTTGTGACCAGCGTGAAATACCCAAAGTGTTCGAGTCTTAAGGAACAAGCGAGTTCATTTAATATTTATGTATTGTAGTGTTATGTGTGGATAATGAGGCCTTGAGTAGTATATCAATGATACAATGTTCGAAAGTGCTGTGGGCTGAAAAAAACCCGAAAGGGATTATCAAACAGGGCAAAATCCGGGTCCATTGACGGGTTCCGCATTCCAACCAAGTCTTGAGAAGGAATAAGAGAAAATGGTCAGTTTCCGTCAAATTCTTATGCATATTACAGACAATATCATATAAGTAAGCCTTAGTTATACTAACGCTTAAAAATTCCGACCAGGTTACCCACTCCTACCTGGGAGACTACTACAGATTTCGTTACCCGTTCACCCGCTATTCTATAAAATCTGCCTACAGACTCTGAAGCGAGCACGCTTACGTGCGTTATCTAAACGAATGGTGCGGTTTGTATGTTACTTATTGATAACTTGTTTTCGACGTGTTATGGCCAGGTGAGAGAGAGACCTTCACGATGACACAAGAAGACGTTCCTTACTTAAGTATTTAGTGTGAAAATGTAGATCGCCTGATGAGTATTAAAACGATCATATGAACCAAAGCACTTTTTCCTTACATATAGAGGATGCTAGTAATTAGCAGGTCCATGTAAGACGGCCAGTAAGAAGTTCAAAAGGAAAGGCAAACATTTCGGCAGACTACAGCGTCCGTTGGTGGACTCCCTACAGTGCTTACATGAATGTGGATGTAGTGTTTATTACCACACCCACACTCACCATTATGTTGTAACGGTTTCACATCCCACCACCAGTTTATTTTATGGTCTGTTCTGATATGCCTTGACCCTTTTCTTTATTGGGTTGGATCAAAATCAACCGAAAGCTTTTTCGATACAATTCCGGAAATTTCCTGAAGTTTCTGAATGATCATTTAATATGGGTATACAAGTGGACAATAATCTTATATTGCACAATTATCCCACATCTTAGTAAGGGATACGGTATTGGCAACTTAGCAACATCCCGTTAGCGGAGGCTTGTTGCCCGAGTTCGTACAGGGGCGCAAAGTTGGCAAAGCTTATGCAAATCTGTATGACGTACTAGGCACGGATGCTCCAAGTTATGGTGGTATTTTTGTTCCGTTACTTCAAAGTAGTGAGATATGAAATGTCAACCGTGGGACGCCCAAGATGCAAACAAGTGGATATTTTCAGCAACATCCACGATGCTTTAAGGTAGGATCCGCGACAAAGTTTGCGTGGTTCCGTTACATTTTGACCTTCTAAATACCACCGTTCATCGCCAACTGCGTCAATCAATAATGGCCTCAAAGCTCGAACAAGTTATACCACACGATTTAACTGATGCATAGCTTTTGAACCGTTGTACAGCCACACCATCATTGCTCACCGGAGGACACAATCATCGATAGCTGAACGATGTCATTGCTTGTGACGACAAAAGGATGCTCCATGTCTAACATAACAAGAAACGTCAGTGGATCGCAACAGATGAACCGCCAGGACAAATCCCGAAAGGCGAACCGCACGCCAGATAAATGAAGCTGTGGCTCTGGTGGTTTCGCTACAGCGTCACTTACTGTGAACTGCAACCTGACAATTCCACGGTCAATGCCAACAATTGCAAAAGATGGTAGACGAAAACCGAACAAGGGTCCTGGAGGGGCTTGAATTCTTCTTCTACATGACAAGGCACCTTTTCATGTGGCAACCGTGACGCAACCCAAGATTCAGCAGCTCGGTATTGAAGTTTTTATGCATCCAGCACATAACTCGGGCCTCGATCCTACTGACTGCGACCTTTACTGCTCGCTGCACTAACACATCACGGACAAAAATTCGACGGCCGTGAGCACATTGAAGCCTTGACAACCAGCCCAGCTCGTTGTATCCGAGAGGCATCGGGAGCTTGCCCGGGCATTGGTAGTACGTCGTCGATAACAATAGACGTGACGCCGCTTAAATATTGTTGAGCAGTAGAGGAATGTATTGTGTTTATGAGATTCTTCGTCGCAGCTAGACTCAGCTAGACTCAGCCAGATATCTACCACACATCCAGGAATGCGTTAGACGGCCGTTGATTGCTTACGATAAATATTGGTAGAAATATGTGCTTAAAAGTTTAGTTGTAATCACGACAGCCGAGTAACTTATGGTATTACATAAGCTGTTCTTCTTCCACATCACCTTGCTTTTGCTGCATACAGAAATTGGGTGCTGATGTGTTTTAAAATGCGGACCAATGAAGCGTTTGGTAGCAAATCACTGGGTTATTCTTGGTTAGCAAACGGCATGCTAGCGGTTCCAGCACCCAAATTGGGTACAAAGACGGCAGGTAGTGTTAATTCGGAAATCCTTCGACCCTAGCCAGAGGCAAAACTTCAATGTTTCCCACCCCACTTACTAGACAGTGTAGCCGGTCAAATTATGCTGATTTCCCCAAGGGGATTTATTGATGAAACTGCAATTGTTGCGCACATACAGTTCCCGCGGAGGTGGCATCCGAAAGCACTGCAGATGGCAGCTACGAAGTTAGCCGAGACAACAACCCGATTCTTTCGTAGACACTTGGATGAAGAGCAGGTTCCTGACGTGCGGAAGCAAGGTACCATTACCCCGATTTTTAAGGGTGGTGGCCGTTCGGAACCCGTTAATCATCGCGCAGCGATTCTCCTCCCAATACGCTCCAAGATGATGGAGTCGATGATAGCGGGAACACTAAGGGGATATTTAGCAGAATCATAGCACCGGATCAACACGGATTCCATCAACCTCGGCCAGGTACTACCTATTTCCTGATTACGCGCGGCAATTGGACTGAAACAATACATTCTGTGACCAGAACTGGTGTCGGCTATCGCGAATCTTCCGCTTAGATTACCGGATATTTCTCCAAGAACTGTAAACATACGGAATTGGTAACCCCATCGTTGTACGGACCGGAAATTTCCTTCTTCAGCGGGCGCTTCAGGTTCTAGTCTAGGGCTCATTATCTGCTCTACTGATGTGGACTGCGTTCCACAAGAATCAGTGTTGAGGCACGCTTAATCTTAGTCTTATTCAAGGAGGTTGCGCATGTCAGTGAGTCGATTTTCCTGCTTTATGTATACGACATTAAGACATGGTGAGCGATTGCTAGTCAGGAAGCTCATATGCACAACGCATATGTGTGGCTCCATGCAGTGTACGCGATCCAGGCCTAGCAACACTGGTTAACATACGATTCGGTTGCAATGGAGATCCCACGGCGAAGGGCTACCAACAATGTGAAGAGCTTTTTTCACCTGTCATACCAACGAAGATTGAAATTCAGAGAAGTGCACAGAGAACATTATCGTCGTCTACGAAATGGCCTCATTCAGTCGCACCAGATTTTGAAAAACACCGGTTACGCTTGCTGCCACCCGAAAGTTATTCGCAGCACAAATTGTGGGATCACCAGCTAAAACTGGCCACCCAATGGAGTCGGCTAGAATGTTGCCGGAATTATTTTTCTCCTCGATTTTGTCGGCCATAAAATGCTTTCCCGACTTTTGTCATTACTGCGCCTACGCTACCCATTAAAAAATACTATTGGATGGTGCATTGCACTATCTGGATTAATTGAATTCTGTTTATCAAGTGATGCCAAGGCGCAGACAAACATTGTGCTCACCATTCCCCACGAAATCGAGGCAAACGGAAAACATTTGTGTTAACGCGGATATGATGGTGAATTCATGAATGCGCATTTTATTTGAACAAACCATCCCGCAGGACTTGTCAATCCTTGGCTTTTTTTACCCGTATAAGGCCATTGTTCCATTATCAGATGGCAACAGAGAGTGGGTGTATATTTGAATCTTTTTGTTACTTGATCAGGCCCGCGAAAATGGCACATAAAAGGACTAACCGGACCTCGGATTTGTCAGTAGCTGTGAACATATTTGACTCACCGAAGCATTTGGCATCTTACTTCATTAAGTCTTGGTTCGAATTCAGAGCGCGAAAGGTTTCCAACCGACCATAACCTCTCTGCTACGACGGCACCACGAGGCCTAATTTGTGGAATTAGAAGGACGTGGACAAACATGTAATGTGGTTAACTTGTTTTACTGTAGTGGTATATTAAGAATTGTACAGTCACTAAAAGTTCGCTTGCAGGGTGTCTGGTAAGATAAATGAATTACTTACTAATGATGTTGCCGCAAATTTCCGGAATGTTTCAGATATGTGTGTGGAAAGAATTCAAGGATGATTTCGTTTTATTTGGTAGAAATGTGACTGCCTTCCTTGGCATGCCAATCAGCACTTTGAATATAGTCTATACTGTTCATAAATCGCGTTGATAGAAGTTTTCGAACGATAGGTTTTAAATCAGGGATTAAACTGTATTCATCCTCCCATCATAGATGGATGCTGGTATCAACTAACTCTACCTCATACACGTCTGTCTACTGAACGGGTAAATTTACGGGGTACATCAGTGCTTTAGGCACATAATTGCTCCTGGGGAGTCTTCATATCGGCCGTTGCTGCCGATTTCTTAATGTTGTCTTGTTGTTCTTACATTTTTGTTTATCTGTATCATTCTGAGGTCACTTACGTTATCCTACTCCGCTGACATTTTTAAAATGTCCGGGTGTAACGCAAATGAAACCGCAATGATTCATCAAAACTCGAGGTTATTATTACTACCAGTGTTATCCCCTTTTAAGTTGATGTGTAAGGTATTTGCGATGCATCAAACGGCTTACACATTACTGCGTCTATCTTTAACGAAGCCACCTGTTTAACTACGCTTGTACCGGTTAAAAATTTTGCTCATGTCGTGCTTCGGAATACACGCTTTTCCGCCCCATTCTTTTGTTCTGGTATTCAGCTCATCGGAGCAGCTTCGTTGTAGATGCGCCTACAACGCGCTCGTTAAGCTTCGCTTGCTGTTCACTTACAGTCCGGAGTCATCGTCTGTACCTCCAATCTGCTCTACGGAACATATTACCTTTGGTGTCTCGGTCAGTCACCCCTAAATGCAAACAGATACTTCAGCACCATTTGCAACCTGTGAAACACCACTTTATCAATCGGATGATGATTTTGAAGACTGGTATTAGTAGGTAACGGTCCATTATTCCGGGGTACCAGAGGAATTTCTCATCCTTGTTTTTTGAGCTATTTGGGCCCGGAAGCCTTACGCCTGTTCCGCACAATGCGCATTCCGGTCAAAGCACAATTTCCTCGTACCCGTGCCGAAAATTGTGAATTGTTCCTACGGTGAAGTCTCTGCGAAGTCTTGGGCCGTGAACGGTGAGTCGAATTCCATTGCCTCACGCGCGAAGACGCATAAGATTAGTCCACTGAATCTCATGGCCATTAACGATTACATTGATGCTTTGGAAATGGAGATCGTGGTGCCAACGCAAGATGACTTTACCCCTTGCGATTGATTGTAACACAGTATTATGCTACCACCTTGTTAGGTCAGCGTGACAGAGAAGTTTGTTTTTTGGGAAACGGCAACCTCATGCTTCCAAGTTCCACTGGACCTCAATCATCTCTGAGGTTTTAGTTGAGCATCTAGAACGCTGCAACATCATAGCACCGTGGCAGTACGGTTTCCACCAACACCGCTGATGCACAACCAACCTACTAGTTGCACGCAGTAGTTGGACGAAAATAGTCAATTTGTCTAGAGGGACCGACGTCATTTACCTTGACCTCTAAAGCTCTCTACTGACTGAAGCACGGCGTTCTGCTTCACATGCTCGAAAGCTAAGAAATTGGAGATTCTCTCCTTGTATGGACCAGGAATCACCTGCATAATCGGCAACTACAAGTTTGAGTTGGAAGTGCGCTCTCCGATCCGCTTCAGGTCAAACGTTAAGTTCCACAAAAATCACTTCCGAGGCCATTTCTGTTTCTCGTGCTCATTAACGAGCTTATGCATCCGACCGCCTTTGCTTTCTCGCTTTTTACGAATACTGTTAAGATATGGCCGGCGATCATTGCCCAACGAGATCACGATGAACTTCAGCGAGATCTAGACAGTGAGTATGAATGGCAGTTTCACAATCTGTTCCAGTTCATTTTGTCCAAATATGGGGGCATCAACCAAGCAGCATATAAAAGCTTGGATATTACGTCTTACGTGTTGCCACGCAGGAGTGCGATCCTGCGGTACTAACTCAGACTGACTAAGGATGATCAAAATAGTTTTAGAAGGGAACTAACACGTAGCTATATTATAGAGGATATTCCAGCCGTTTGATCCATCTGTCTGCCAGCAGAGGTTAAACACATACCTGCGGCCTCATGTGAAACATGCAATCAAAGCCTGGAAATCATGAAACGAGCAGTGCTCGAGAGACGCCATTGGTGTCAAAGTAATGCTTCGTCTTCCATATCAATTTCGCTTGAAGACCCTAAGATTGTGCAGTGGTTAGTATCGGCACCCACGCGGCGAACTAACAGTGGCTTACCAGATGGTGAAGAACCCCAACTAGGTCTTCCGCCACTTACGGCAACAGCAACGCAACAACTCGAACCTAAGGGGCCACCAGTTTGAGTTAGCCAACCAACACAACCTGCTAAAATGTTGCCGGAACATTTACTCTCTTTATGCGTGCCAGCCATGGAATACTTTCCCTAGCTACTTACTTCGGATTCCAGTATACGAGGATAAAAATGCCTTGACATTCCCTAACCCAAGTACGTCATGAATCGTAGCTGGTGCAAGCCAAGAAAAGCATAACATAACAGTGTAGTAACCAGCATTTTCTTACGTAATCGATGCAGACTCTGTCACACATATCTTAGGGTGTAAATTATGATGAGCCCACCAGAAAGCTACTTCTTTTATCACCATGTTTGCCATACACCATTTTCGCGGTTCGCATTCTAACCCTCCCGCACGACTTATTAAGCAGTTGCTTTTTTACTCGGATCACACCACTGCTCCATTGATCTGTAGTGACAAGGTTATTTTAAGGATTAGAGACCCCAGTAAGCGATAAGCGATCACCTGATAGCGTACTGCTATTGCAGACGAGCTCATAACTTCCCTTACTGGCCTTAGATTTCGCTCCACTCAGCAAACGCTTGGACGGGTTAAGCCCAGTCATTAAAGCTTGATCGAAAAATCTGTTCACACGTTAAGATTGTGGAATTTTCAAAACAGCAGTCATGCGAACTAGCAGTTTCTTGAGTTGTGCGTTTACAAATATATTATGGTGTGATGTTTCACAATATACATGTTTAAACTCTTTTACGATATGTCTAACTTTGTGCACATCTGATTAGGTATCACATGGACCCAAGGAGGCGGTACATAAGTGAGGGTCACTATTTTTGAATGGCCCAGGGAATACCTTAGCTACAACTGCCCCCATGATGTCTTATAGGCTTGCATTCATCTCACAGCTTTCACTATTGTTATTCAGCAGCGTTTACAGCTCGGTAGACGGTCAAACAGATGACTCACATACCATTTGATTCCATAGATTTCATCCCAGCCATCTTGTAAGACTTGTCAAGCACCAGCTTTCTTTACCCATGGGCATTGTTCAAAGAAACTAGAGATGATGTGTCTTGAAATAAGCACATAGTTATACCCAAAATGTCCAATCCATATTTTCGTTTTCATTCGTTTACTGTCCTATTTTATCAAGCAGAACGGAGGAATTTTGGAAATAACAAGTGGAATTGCAAGCCGATTGGGACTGAGGTGCTGCTCCGTAGCTGATAACGGCCTCCAGCGTGGTCAAGGATGTCGCATGCTATTCTTAGGAGCAGACCAATGAAGGTTGAAAGACGATCGTCAAAACGCAACATGGTGACATTTCCTGGGTCCCTGATCTCCCGTTTATACTCTCGGAACGCGAGTTCCGACAGTTGCAGCTGTCGTGATGCTGATAACCAAACTGCTGGCTCTGCAGACAGACTACAGCAGCCGATTGATACCTTCATTGTGCCAAACACAAACTATGCGAAGTACTGCTCGCAGCTCTATCTCGATAAATGCGTAGTGACTGCAACAGAAGTAGTCCAGCTGTATCGCTTAGACTTCAGCCTATGCGATCTTGTATAAAATACACAACTGTATTCGATACAGCGATGTACTTAGCTAGATTTGTCTCGGTCGGAGAGCCATAGAGTGGAAATACCTTGGATGTAACATCATAGTTTCTCAAGATCCAATAAACAGATATATGTAGGTTGCTTTATTGAGACTGCAACATACCCCGAACTTAAGGTAGAATTTGGTCTAACAGTGGATAAAAGGTTCAAGCGATTTTATAGCGTCCAATTAGGCAGTTCTACTGTTGATATATGTTTCCGCACCGAACCCCATAGTCTGTGACTGGATTCAACAGTAGTGGAATCGGAGCTTGAACCGGGACTGTTCGCAATCCAGTTGGATACCGTATGGTAAAAACAGACCAAAAATGTGCTCCTGTGATGGGCGCTGTTCACGGAGGTGATAAAAGCGCTACAAGCAATCTCTGCGTCCCGGTTTTTCGCCTGTTTGCGCTTCCCACATTTAAACAGTGAAACTGGACAGCAAATCAGTTTAGCTGCAGCTTTGGTGACGTCTACATAACCAGGATCGACCGGCAACTGGCTCAAAGGGTGGTTGATCACCTCCCAAAGTGGTTGAGGCAATCCATGGTGCAACATAAAGGGATGGGTAAGTAGAGAAACAGAACCCCAGCTCGTCGATTACAAATCAGCTTGGACTGAGTGGCCATTATATTGATCTATCGCAGTCCTTCAAAGTGCTATTGATCAACCGAAACTCAAAATCGTTGGCAATCAGCAAAGCATTAATAATTGCGGTAAACCGGCCAGGATTGTGTTCGCAAAAGCAACCGAAGAAGTCTATCAGATTGCCCTGGTCTTGATCGCCTAACTTTAAGTTACCCGTGTATTTGCGTTCCACTTGTACATCCGTTAATTTATTACCCAAATGTATTGCGTATACGACTGAGGAGAGCCATCGAACTGTTAACATATCGCACCTTTCGTCGTCTATCTGCGTTGATCATGTGGGTAAGGGGGAAAATGTGTTTCAACTTATATGTGTGGTGAAGGCAGCGTGCACCACCCAAGGTTTGTATCAGCTACCCTTCAATTGACCGATCTGACCCCGGTCCCATGAGAATTAATTAAACGGAGAACACATGTCATTTTATATTCGCAAACTGATGTACCAAGCGAAGTCAAGGTGCTTCCTTTAAATTCACTGCAGTGTTAGTTCAGTTATTCATAATCTTTCATATAACCCAAGGTGATAGTGGATGGGAAAGGAAACGCTATCTTTTGTAAAGTATTGCCTGTAAAATCTTAGATAACAGCTGTAGGCCGAGCTAACGGAACAATTCGGTATGTGTTGTGTTATAGAGACCCAGAAAAACTTGGTTACAAAGTCTTCATTGATACCCATATATCAATGAGCGCAATGAGGCAAGAGTACCGAAAAGACATCTCCTCCCCATTAGAATTGTAAGGTAGACCACCTGGATTTTCATCTGTTCTCTACAGACTGCTTGAGCTCCTAAAGGTCGAAGTCCAAACAGGCGATAGTTGGATGTTTTCCGGCCTTTGCGCATTTTACCTTAGTGCTATGAGTATTCAAGTGTTTCCATTAATCGCTGACTCACTCTACCCATGGCCCTCTGGACAGAACTGGGTTGTGCTGTCAGGCTCTTAGATGCGTTACACACAGAATGTTGAGAAACTTCACAAAAGTAACGGTGACTTGTAGTAAGTTTTCTGCGTGGTATGATATGAAAGTCTACTATTTGGATTGATGGTATTGTGTAGGCTGTCTTTCACTAGAACTACTCACCGACATGAATGTGCCGGTGAGTATACAGACATGCAATGAAGTAAAAGTAACACACGTATCCGAACCGAATGCAGCGATAGCAGAAGATGGGATAAGGGGAGCTGACTTTACGCGAGTTGATATATCGTTACACAGATCTACCAAAGGTGTATAGCACTTCAAGTGTAACGAACGAAATTCCATGTAGATTTCCAACCACCATGATAACTAGGTCGTCCGTTAAACTCGTAGAGTTTAACGGATTAGATTACGTTTACGAGTTAGATTAACGTTTAGACTACTTACGAACCCCTTGCCTCTCAGTTACTACTGGTTCCCTGTGCATGCAGCGAGCAAATTTACAGTGTGGCTGACAGAATCTAGGCAGTAAGACCCATATGCTCATGAAATCATCCTGAGGTAAACCGACCCATTACCACCATTTAGCTTCGCCGAAAATTCAAGAAAGACTATTACCTTATTCACGGACTGCATATTACCAAGTCACAGTGAAAATAACTATTAAGTATTGCCTATGACCAAACCGGATTTAGTAAACTTAGTCTATGATGATAACTCATACATACTTGCTTCCCTGATAGTTCGGTAGGATCTAACTTCCAAATGGGCGTGATAAATTACCGAGAGACCACGGGATGGCTGTTACTTCTCCTGAAGCGATTCTCAAGTACACTTCCAGTATGTAAAAAACGTGGGAGCAACAAACATCTTGAAGGTCAAAGGTATTAGGTTTACTATTTCCATTTGAGTCAATCAGCCAGGGATAGAGAACACAACGCAACAATATCACAAAATTCTTACCAAGACCGACTGAAGAAATTGGTCTCATCTACGTGTTCTCCCCACATAGCCGCCTCACCACCCAAAACGCGGGCGTGCTGTTCTGATGTACCTGGAAAATAAGAATCAGCATAAGCTAAGCACAATTGTTTTATGCAATACGACAAAACGATCAGAAAACTAGTTAGCTTCATGGCGATTAATTGCCAACGCAATCCGCTGTATTGTCCACAAGCAGTTTCAGAACGTGACGAAATGCATTTTCTTGAATGGATTAGAATGATATGCGGGTTACTAGAACCTATTCTGGCTGCATTGTCGTAAACGGGAGTAACACTTTGTTGTTCATGAATAAATTTGATTATCCCCAGTCGATTAGCAACGACCCTGAGCTCTTCCCGATTACTGCAGTTTTGCCAAGCTAGCGACTTTACTTAGCTGGCTGAATAGAAAGGAAGTCGAGGTGTATAGTTTGTAACTAACCTCTATGACTCCGTAGGTGACTGCGTTGTATCACCAGATCTTAGGGGGTGGAAAGCTGCATTTACCTAAACCTACATTGCAAAATCAAACATTTCCACTTCTTGCTGTCCTGTGGGATCGAACTTTGACCTTCAGACACTACGTTTGGCTGATCACAGGTAGTTCTAGTGTGAAACTTGGTGGCACTCGTTGAGTGAAGTTGTAAACAACCGGTGTGCGCAGCGCCGGATAATTTTAAGAGTGATTCGATTAAGAAATTTGGTTCAAAGGATGTGTATGGGCGAAACGGTTATCAAACAAACAGATCCAGTGATGGTCGCTGCTTAGTCGCTGAGAAACCGGAAGCGTCTGAGAACCTCTTCCTTAGCCATTAGGTCTAGTTTGCAGTTGTGCAGTTAGGGTCTGACTGCTAGCGACTGTTATGCACTGCAACTGTTAAGACTGGACCATCCCAACATTGATCAAAAACTCCGCTGGTTTATCTAAAGGAGGAGATCCCAACCAACTTTCTCACGCATGATATAAATCACCCTGAACCTTTCAACTATTGCCTGTTCTACTTGCAGATTCATGGAATAATTATTGTCATTAGCTAGGTGTAAGCGCAGCTGAACGGCTTGCCTTACTCAGAGTGCACTGCGCGCCTAACTATCTCGAACTTCAGTTTATGATGACGTATGGAAAACAAGCTTCAAGATGATAATCGGCGTATTCGGTGGTAAAGTACCATCACTGATGTGCGTTATTCTGGAGCACCCAGTGGAGAAATTCTGTCGTCTGATTACGCGCTGAACAAGAGTAAAATTCGTAAAAATGGTCCTTCTCACACATAGTAAACGGTTGACTCGTCTGAATGTTCCTTCGCCAAGTATGTGTGCCAATGACGTGCCAAGATTCTCTCTGGCATAACTGATGGGTTTTTCGTCGGATCACGTCACTTCCCATAGCTCTAGTTAGTATTCAACACATGAGAATTATATCCTTGCAATCGGAACAGAAAGATTAGCAGCTGTTCTTCAGTTTGCCCGGGATGGTTAGCCGAACAACCACCCCGTGTTGCTAGCTGTGTGTGTTGGGTTAATCCAGTTTCAGCACATGGTTCGACGGCAGTGTTCCAGAAAGTGTTGGGATTTCGCCTGACAAGCGTTCGCTATAAAAAGCCACATAGGTCCGTTTAACAACACTGCGACGTGGCGGATATGACCCGCCACCAAATAAAGTCAATGCCTCTTACCTTTGCGGAGGATCTTACCCACACAAGGAACGTCATCCAATTTGAAGTTTGCCTTTGATGTCTTCCTTCGATGGCAAACCCAGCGAACAAAGTCACAAATTTAGAGTGGCATTAACAAACTCACTCAAAGTGGCTACGTACACACATGCACTCACACATACGTCTACATGTAAACATACACACAAATCCCGTATGCTACTAGATAACTTGTTATATTTTTGTACAATTACCGAGCCTGGGTGTCTGCATTACTATTATCATGCCTTTGCTGACGTGCCTCGTACTGATGAGAATAAACTAGTTATTCTTTTATTTACTTTTTCAAAGACACGATTGCATGCCAGCTAACGTTTGGGGTCAATGTACACTTGAATCACACACCTCTTCTGAAGCACTCAAGCATTCAACTTTCGAATGCGTGCTTCGTATAGTCAGTAAACTGAATGTAGGGGCAAAACGCCTATGAATTGGAAATTTGCTGGAACCAGGAGAATTACTTATTTTTTGTAACTGTCTATAATAGTGGAACCTTGAGTTGTTTAGAAGACAAGTGTGTTATTTTGCAACAAAGAATTCTAGTTTATGTCAGAACAACCCGTTCCTACACCCCGAGCATTTTATTTGTTGCTGTTACTGTCACCAGTTTCATATAAAATCACACCACTCGGGTCTCCTGGACTCTATTTAACCAAATGTGCATTCGACTACATAACAAACGGTAGTGGCGTGCTTTTCTTTACGCTTCATTCGGCCTTGTGTCCAGCGTAGCATTACCACTTGTGCTATGGTGTTCGCTTCTGTGTTCTCAAGGCGGTTCCTCGTAGACCTTCAGTCCTACTCCGGGAGTCATAACAGGTCATAATAGAAATGTATAGTTCTAATGATCTCATCAACAGCTCAGCCGTTAATCCAGAGCTGCGGAAATGTACAAAATCCGATCGAAGGTCACCACCACTTGTGTGTGTTTTGCATTTTGGTGTTTCAGTGCGTAAAGAGACCAAGCAAGTGGAACGCTCCGTTTGTTGCTCATTTGTTAAGGAAGTCTGCTGCGAAATGGGTTATTTGTCATTTGCCGATCACGTATCAAGGGCTGGCAAATGGCTGTATTATATCCGATAGTGCGGTTGTTAATAAACTGCTTAGGTTTGCTTTAAGAGAAGATCGTTTCATCCAGGTTACTTGAATTTCACAGAGTACAAAACGAAATCAAATAAGCTTAGAAGTTTCAGTTAGCACAGTTCCAGGAGATCAAAGTGTGTTTTTCCACGGTGTCCCAAATATGCAAGGATTGTGCCGACTACACACTACACTTTTGCCCTGAGAGCCACATTCAAACTAATGGGTGAGAATGATGCATCCCTTCTTTCTGCTGCATCCGCCCATTTCTTACTTTAAATTATGGATTTTTCTTTTATTCATAGTTGCTGCAGCAGCTGATGAGTTCCGAGTTTTTATCATCACATAAAATGCATATGTGTGGAATAGAGAGAGAAAAGGAACCTACTTAGTGTTCTAGCGGACGTTCACCCAAGGTGGATCAACCGGAGTGAAATATTGCAGAGATTTGCGGCTACGCATGCGAGGCCTTGGCGGCTAACATGGTACTTGTGCACGCAAATCAGCCCTTTAACTTACAGAATGTTGCCAATAGAAAGCTAATTATACGGATCTGGTTTAATTGGAGGTCCGCATAATTGGAGAGGATGGCCCTGCTTTTCGATTTTGTACCAGCAATTCATGTTTGAGTAGAAGGGACGTTTGAGAAGAGTACTGATATTCATAATACACTGGCACTACTTACTTGGTAATATGTTTCATAATGCCAACGAATAAAACAGTTATCAGGATGAAAATACCTTGATTTTCTGCACAATTCGCTGACCACGAAGGTTGAACCCTCCTTCAGAAAATCCGTCAACATAACACTTCCAGCGTAAGCAATGAAACTGAAATCACAAGGCCTTTGTTGCTACTTTGGTGAGTGCTACATAGTTCGTAATTAGCTAACTTAATAATGCAAATAATTCACTAGAATTAGAAGCATATATCGAGTTCTTTCAGGTTACTGTGCCGTGTTCCTCAATACGTACCTTTGAAATCAGTTGGGTCGCATTCGTAGTAAGGGCCCCAGTCCACCCCGTAGGAGATAATGTTCAGGTACCAGCAGCTAGAAAAGAGAACGCGGAATCCGGCCTCGGTAATGTTCTGCATCTCACTCGTCCAATTCTCCTTCTTCCAAACATGGATGATAGTTTTGTTGTTACTCTAAAATTCAAGGTCCGATAGCCTGCGGTCAATCGTTTTAAACAACGCTGGAATTCATATTATTGGGTCCTGTGGGTGAAATATTATGCACTAATTTTTGTTGGTTTTTGGAGGAGGTGCTCAAACTCGGTTGGTACTACTCCGTGTATTTTAGCAAAACATATCAAAACGACTGGATGCCGCAAGTTGGGGAGAATGATTGGTTGAAGTAACTTCGAAGAATTGCGTTAAACGGTTAAAATTGTGCGCAGTTCATTTCTCTGTTGCGTTAGTAAAGCCATTCAAATGATGGGAAATAATAGCAGAATGCAAACGCGAATCACTTTCAGGTTTGTAGGTGCATTCTACTGAAAACTTTGGCCGGTTCCATCTTGTAAATTTGAATTCTCTGTAGCTGTTCCGGTGGCATCTTCCGGTTGTCTTTAACTAAAGCATCAATCATGAACAAACATGGGGCCGGCGCATTGCAGAATCTACGTCCTTGGAGCAAACATATAAATAGCAAGTGCATCATCATATCCACTGCCCGCGATAAGAGCTACGGTAACTAACGGAAGAAGCCCAATCTAATTCGCGAAATCTGCTGCTATCACTTAAAACAGTTCAACCGTGGGTCGCTAGAAGCATGTCATATAGATGCTTACAAATAACGAAAAATACCAAAACACAAATCGATACATACGAAACTATATGCATTATACAGTATTTATCTTGACAGCTTCCATTCATCCATGGTACTGGACCGAGGATAGCTAACCAGCCGAAAGGAAAGGGTGCAAAACCGGAGGACCCAGTTTTTACCTAACGTTGACCTCAATTTCAACAAGAACGTACCCGAAATCCGTGATCAAACACTTCCTGCCAGACTACTGGAGTGGTGGCGCTATCTGTTGGCCTTGTCAGAGAAAGTAGACGAATTAGCTGTTCCATGTAGTAGGACTGCAGCAGTGAGTAGTTGCCGGAGAAGCCCATTTGTTCCATGAATCTCCGTACTTCTGGGTTAGACTTCCTGAAAGTGAGGTGCATACGCAGATGGAACTGTTGTAGTGGTTTTTCAAATAGGAGTTACAGAGAAAAGATTTCGTCTACTTGTAACGGAGAGATTTAATAGAAGGTGTACGTTCGCAATGCAAATGCATGCGTGGATCAATGTTACTGATGTGAATAGCTTGACCGGTGGTTAGTGTACAACAGTTAGGCGCACACCTGTGCAATTTTCATTCTTTTCGAAGCTATTTAGACGAAGTTTTTCACATATATCACTGAATTCACAGTACCATTTCTGGAAATCCCTATCTTGGGAACACTATTAGTTCAGCCCATATTTATCCGGAATTAAAAATTTTGGGCATTGTCTAATCAATACCTGCGCGCACAAGGTTGCGTTATCCCAACCTTCGAACCCAAAGTTTTCCCTTACTTTTTACGGCATGCCAAGGGCATTTCAACTGATTTTCACTCGTCTAAGTCCAACATTGTCTGGAGCAGCTACAGTTTGACGTACATTTCTCCGCAGCGAGCTTCACTTAGTCTCTTGGTAAGTGCACTCTGGGATGATCCGTAGACACGACAACGAAATTTCATTTATAAAAGCACCGTGCGATTCGCCTCACGCGCACACTGATGCTTGCGGCCGGCACGCCAGACGAAAGCCTGAAAAGTATACCTCGCATTCACACCAGAGCGATCTGGACTGTGTGATCTTGACCTCAACAAGGAAACGACTGCAGATCATCGAGGAAGCTTCAGTATAATGTGTTGTAATCTTCGCTCAGCGTGCCTTAGGATAAAGACATATACGGCTCATTTGCCAAACTTGTCAAGGTGGGTATTCCGTGTTCCAACCATTGTAATTTTCAACGCAAAATGCTGCATGCTGACATCTAGCAAGGTGCTATTGCATAAAAGCAAACCAGAAGCTCTTGTTCTGCGTGGAATACACGTCTATCCAACAAAAAATGTGTGTGCTCTTATTATTATTATTAATAGTATTATTCGTAGTATTAGCAGTAATAGTAGTACTAGTAGTAGTAGTAGTAGTAGTAGTAATAGTAGTAGCAGTAATAGTAGTAGTAGTGGTACTACAACCAAATAACAGCCAAAGTTGAGAAAATGACGAGCACCAAAATCACCACAGTAGGGGTAAGTTTGACGGATTGCGCAACCAAGGCTTCCCCAGTAAGCGATGCTCCAAGCCTGAGAAGGAATGTTGGTGAGGTCTTAAGCCCGGAAAAACAATTGCTATTCCAATAACACAAGCGAATTACGTTCTACTAATGAGCTTCTAAGTTCGATCAGAATATTTACATACAAGATTTTTTCCAATCTCCCGGTTGAGGCCATAGCGAAACTGCAACCCAGTTCTAATGCAAGTTGAATCAGGGAAGGCCGATATGTATACTCAGTGGCACCTCCAACTGGATCGGAGACTAAGAAGCGTAGCAAAGTTTTCCTGGTTCGAGCACCCCCGGTTTGCTGCGATACACCACAGAACATTTCAGCCCTATCCGTGACATACCGAAGGATGCTAAGGAACAACAATTTGTGCTGAATTTACCGTGATCCAATAGCCCAGAATCCAAGGCGACGTCAATTAAGGCCGACACTTAGACGACCCCAAGTAGTGGGACGTCATCAGTAACATACTTAACATTGTGGTTAATCTGTGCATGTAGTGTGGGTCATTCGGCACCCCAACTCTAAACATTACAGAGCCAAGATGTCTGCGCGTTACGTTGAATTGCAGCACCGAAGCACAATCAGTTCTGTTGTTGACCAGCCGACTCAGAAATGAACGTCGCTCAATCCGTTCCTTTCTGGCTATCCCATAGAGAGAGTGCTATGGAAATAGCGGCAGGTTAAAGGACAACCGGAAGGAAACTTTAGCAAGAATCATTCTTGTACACGGCATTCCTGGAGCTGGAGCATGCCATGTGCATGAATTAACAATCCATGATAAAGAACAGTGGTGTTATATTCGTGAACTACTCTCCTTGGATGACGTGCTGGCGAAGTCGGTGCCACGGCTACGCACATCAGCGAATTACAAAGCATGTGGCCCGACAGTGTTGAAGTTAGTTCTACAGTCGAAATAAATGGCAGCAAGGCAACTGAAAATCTGGAGCATTTTTCATTGCAGGCCGCCATGGGAGGTTTGGAGGAACGCAGCGAGCAATACGTCCTCCAGAGATAAGCTGTCTCCCAAAGAACCAAACGCGATGTGGATTCTACTGGAACAGTGCACCAGCAGTGTGTATGTTGAGCCCACTTAATCAGTCTATGAAGTTAGCGACCACACTCCTTACGCTGTATATGAATGTTTAGATTTGGGATTACTTCCGAAGACGTTGGACCTGACTTTGAACCAGTTGCCAACTACTCCCCAAAACAAACGAATAGTTGCTGGCCACTCACTGGGCGGCGAAACTTTACTTCCGAACTGCACAATCTCCGACACTGCTAAAATCTGAGAAAATGCATGTACACTAACATCCAAGGGTTCCTAATGAAATTTACCAAACTTCCTTTACGTCAGATTGAGAATGCTTGGGACGTAATTTTCAGTACCGAAACTTGATGGCAGCAACAACTTACTTATGCTGAAGTTGAGCTATCAGGAATGTCTCTCATCCTGAACAACCGTCCAAGCAAAGGAGGCGGGCTTCTTCTATGCTACCGCAGCGACCTGCAATGTGCCATAGTTGATGATCCGGAAACTTGTGTCACTGACTCATTGTGGTGCCGTCTGCGACTAAGACACGACGACGTATGTCTCGTAGATGTTCTTTGTTGCTCAGCAACATGCCCTTGGAAATGACTTTCTGTTTGATACGGGCTTTTAACAGGGTAACACGCCCTGTCTACAGCCATATCCACAACTCAGGGAATTTTTTATACTGCATCCGGAGGTGCTGGTACCTCCCAACGAACATTTCAGGGCTGACATGCATGAAGTGTTGCCTATATTCCATAATTCCATCTCATATTCACGCCTATAAGATTCAAGCTAGAAAAAAGCCTTCCATACTGGTTCTGGTGCTCACAAACGAAGAGTCTATGGTTGATAATTTGGTACTGGAAAGTCAATTAGGTCTCAGTGATCAACTATTCTTGGCAATTAACTAGGTGTACCATACAGAGTATCCATCTGAAAATTCGGAACTAACTCATAAAAGTACACGCTACCATGTCTTGAAAGCACTCAAGGCATCCACTTGGAAGTTCTCGAACTACAGTCATGTGTACAGTGTCAGCAGCGTTCGTTAAAGGACACTGGGATCTAAGCACAACAGCAACAGAAACGAAGCTACTTCCTTGTGCAAAGTGCCGTCTATTTTCAGAAGCAGAATCCGAAAATGCAGGCAATAAGGTATGCAGCAATTTATGCCCACCGGGCTTACTCTAACAGAGACTAGCGAGAATGTCCTAACACTCCACAACCACGAGTGCAGCAGCCGACCAGACCCCGAAAACATTGAGGTGATAAACTGATTGCATTCACCAACGGATATCACAAATCTGCGATCGTTCATTGGAATGGTGTGCACTTACAGCGGGTTTCTAATGTGTATGTATCACTTACATCACCTTGTGGTAGACTAAAGGCAGACAACACTGCGCTACTTAGCAGTAGTATTGAAGTGACAGGATGCAAAGCAGCAACCAGCCAACAGCAAGCCGTACTGGCTCCTCCAAAGGAAAGGAGACGTTAGGAACCGCAGTTGTATGCGCTCGAATAATGGACTAATAGGCACAATCATTAGAAGCAGAAAGAAATCCACGCTATCTAACCTCCAGCAAGGAGTGCGAAGATGCGTGGATGTTTCATTGGTCAGAACCGATGCATCTAGTATAAGCTATGTTTGGAGTGATAGCTAATCCCGCTCTTACGTCGGGTTATTACAACTTGCCGAATCACCTTCTGACGCAGGATGTCGAGCGGAAGTGATCCGGACAGTGGCAACAAGCATTGGAGGATTTAACAGACAAAATAATTAAGATGCTTGTTCTCGGCTAAGCGACGCACGGCTGCACAGGTATGATCATGTTAAGATTGCAAGATGTGATCAGTTAGTGTACAATGGAACAATAGGGTTGTCACATATGTTGATATATGAATGGATGTTTGTGTGCGTGTGTAGCTGTGTTTATGAGATTTGTAAGTGATTTCCTGTACTTTGGGTCGTGTTTGAATGTGTCGCCAGTGCTAAAGGCATGCTTGATGTCTGTGGACTTGAAGCGGTTGTCCGGAGAAGAAAGGGGTGACTTTATTTGGTGGCGAGTCACAACCGTCTCGTCGCAGTGTTGTTAAACAGACATTCGTGGCTTTTGATAGGGAGGACGCTTGTCAGGCGAAAACGCCCCACGCACTAGAATACTGCCGCCGAACTATTTGCTGGAAGAGGGTAAATCCGAACCAATCAGTTGGCAGCACGAGGTGGTTGTTCGGCTAGCCAACCAGAGTTAACCTACTTGTTACGGACTATAAGCCAAACTGGAAATTGTGGTAGCGACGGATGCTTCATGCTATAGGATTGCTATAGTCATTTCAAACCGGTTTCTCGACAGTTCAGATAAATTAGTAGCACACGCTAACCACATCTGAGAAGTACTATAACCAAACGGAGAAAATGGCATTGTTTATTCTCTTCGCTGTTCAGAAATGTCACACACCGTCGGTGTTTCACAATGGTGACGGATTACAAACCGCTTCTTTCAATCTTTGGATCCTTATACGGTATTCCGGCGTACATGGCTAATCGGCTTCAGGGCTGGGCGACTTTATTCATCTGATACGATTTTAACCTGAGATATTTGTCAGCCGATTCTACTAGGCAAGCGGAGGCCTTACACAGCTTAATCGATAACGGTAACCGTAAGTCTAACGATGTCATCACTGTGTCAGTCGCAACCGAAACGGATGTCACCTACATGGCACATAAAATCGCAAGCAACTTGTGCATAGATGAGAAAATGGTTCAGCAAGCTAAGAAACAGGACGCTTTGCTT